ATATTTTTTTTTCAGTCAGGTAAGATGTCAGAAAGTTTTTGTTTTATATGTATCCTTTCTCAGAAAGCTACTAAAAAATGTACTCCAAGGAAATAAGTAAGCCAGGAAAGAAAATACAAGAAACAGCAAACAGGGGAACCACTATAGGAGAGGATAAAGAATTTTAAGGATGATAAAAAGAGAAGATCCAGGATAAAAACTATGAAATAGGCCTAGAAAGTAACCAGTCCTAATTGCATTAAGAGACCCAGGTTAGCTGTCTCAGGAAATGAAGCAAACAACAACAAAAAATACTTTCTAGAAAAACAATAGTGTATTGAAAGAACAAATGATATCATAGTACTCTACATGGGTCAGCTGTGAACATTTACATAGTTATAATACTGTAAATACTAAATATTGGCTTAATAAACACCTGTGATAACTAATAATTGTAGAGGATGGTAGCGGCAGTTTGTGCATGTGGAGGTGAATCTATATGTGAAACACTAAGGAACATCTTGCCTAGAAGAAAGCCAGTAATATCTATAATTGCTATATCAAGAAATAGCAATAAAAGCAACTTACTGCATTTATAAATATGAAAGCAAACACAAGAGGAAACAGCTAGAAGAAAATGGTAGCTTCTAAAGTGCAGATGCTGGGACAGAGAACAGCTGCTTTTCAGATATTCTAATTTTAAAACTGTATTTTTCTAATGCTGATAAAACAAGAAATCTGAACAAAATTTCACAGCAGTTAAATCAGATCTTCAGTATTATTTCATGGTGTTAAACAAACTACATCTAGTTTGTTCTGTCAACGAAACAAAACGGCTAATAAAACCAATCTTTGGCCGGGCACAGTGGCTCAAGCCTGTAATCCCAGCACTTTGGGAGGCTGAGGTGGGTGGATCACGAGGTCAAAAGATCGAGACCATCTTGGTCAACATGGTGAAACCCCGTCTCTACTAAAGCTGGGCATAGTGGCGCGTGCCTGTAATCCCAGCTACTCAGGATGCTGAGGCAGGAGAATTGCCTGAACCCAGGAGGCGGAGGTTGCGGTGAGACGAGATCGCGCCATTGTACTCCAGCCTGGGTAATGAGCGAAACTCCGTCTCAAAAAAAAAAAAACAATCTTTAATGATCAATGTGAACACAGTACAAACAGCCCTATTTGAATCCCAACTCCACTAACTCTGTGAAGTAGGGCAAGTTACCCAATCACCCTGCACACGTAATCACCTCCTCAAAATGGTTTTGCAAGAACAATTAAGTGAAAGCACCTAATGCAGAGCCTAACCCATCAACACTTTCTGCCAGTCTTTCTGTTCCCTAGCTACAAAACCCTATTCTGACCCAAAGCTGCCTTGTTGCTCATAGAGTATTATACAGAGACTCATGGACAACTCAGCACATATCCTTCCTCACGCTGGAAAAATCAATCATGATGAGTAAGCAGACTTATCTTTGTATATGAAGGGCAGCATTATTTCTGTTATATGAAGGAGATTATCCCCATTATCCAAATTCTGGAATACTGCCTGCTTTCAAGAACTGTCCCAATTAGTCTACAGTACTTGGACAGAACCATTTTTTCATGTTCTGTTTTGTAGGTTTTTAACATCTTTAAAAAGAAGAAGAAAATGTACATTCCCATAGTTTTCATCCCTACTCTCTCAAAGCACAACCTCAAAATTTTCTATTGCAGGCCCTATCTGGCCCCCAGTTGGCCTGAGGCCATCTCCTGCTTACTGCAGCAAAAGAGCGAAATCAGCCTAAATCAGCTAATTTAACTGTTTACCAATGTTCTCTTCCCATTTATGGCTAAATTCATAACATCATGCAAAGTGCAGATACCTTAAAACAAGACAAGGAGGCAACAGGATTATCTTTATCACTAGATAAAGATCTTTACTATCAAGACCAATCAAAGGTCTTAATTGATTTTATACCCAGTATTCATACATCTAAAAACAACCTGGCAGACTTCAAAGCACAGACATCATAAATCATTAAGACTCTATTTTATCATTAATTCAACAAACACTGTGCTTTTTTTTAGCACTGGGGATGAAAAGAATTAAGATATAATCCTATCCTCAAATGTAAAGAGAAAAGGTAAAAAAAGGACCATGGAGAGCACCAGAGAATAAAGAAATCCAGGAAACAACTGATAGCAATTCCAGATTACATATAATTCTTAACATAGTTGAGACTAAAGAAAATTATAAAAATTGAACACAGCTCTGAGTCTCCTGACAAAGTATAAAGAAAAACAAGATGGCTGACAAAACAAAAATAACCTAATAAAAGCAGTCACTTGTTTAAAAAAAGAAAAGAAAAAAAGCTTAATACTGGGGTCTTAGGAAGAAGTTGTCTCTAAGGTCCGTATTTTATAGGAATTGATAAATTAGAAATTTCTTCATTAGATATTAATGAAAAAAAGATGTCTTTCACGGCCCCTTTTGGTACGTATCAGTTCTAGATAAGATGCAGATAAGATTAAATCACAGTTCCGTGAAGAAACTTCTAAAAGGACCACCTTATGAATTATGAAGTTAACATAATTCGGCCGGGCGCAGTGGCTCACATCTGTAATCCTAGCACTCTGGGAGGCCGAGGCATCTGGATTGCCTGAGCTCAGGAGTTCCAGACTAGCCTGGACAACACGGTGAAACCCTGTCTCTACTAAAATACAAAAAAATTGCCAGGCGTGCCGGCATGCATCTGTAGTCCAGCTACTCCGGAGGCTGAGGGAGGAAAATTGCATGAACCCGGGAGGCGTAGGTTACAGCGACCAGAGATCGTGCCAGTGCATTCCAGGCTGGGCAACAGAGGGAGACTCTCTCCAACCAAAAAAAAAAAAAAAAAAGTAACATAATGCAAGTATATTGATTTCAGGTGATGCCTTTGTCATTTAGTTTAGGTTTTTATAAATGTATGTTTTGTTTCCCTACATGACTTTAAACTCCTCAAGGCTCATGTTGTCTGCTTCCATTTGAATTCTATTTAGTAGAGTGACAGTTGCTGCTCAACTATAATAACTGATAACACGTTACGCAGCCAATATTTGTTATTAGTCTTCCCTGCTACACTATAAATTCCATAGTGTATTTAGAACAAGTACAGTGAGTTTTGATCCCGACCATATCCCCCAAGTCTTGAATAGGATCACTCTGTAAGTATTCACTCATTGAAAGGATTAAATAAAGAAAGCACAACGAAAGGAGAGAAATAATTTTTTTAAACGGCAGTAACTTTGAGTTCTGAGGCTGTTCTCAACAAGAGCTGAAAGATCTTAGGTAAGTTACTTAACATTTGATTGTCAATGCTTTCATCTGTAAACTAGAAAAATTAAGATACTTCAGATTTAAATGTTTTTAATATGTGTAAAGCATTTAACACAATACCTGAAAAAGAACTCAATAAATGTTAATTCCTTTACTTTCTCTTACCATAAAACAGTGCCTTCCTATCCATAAAACAGTGCCTTCCAAGAATAAATTATTTCAGTAAAAATACAACAGAACTCATTACTTTCCTTTGAAAAAATAAATTTCATCTCTTTAATCTTTAAAATGGAGGGGAAAATAACTTTTTTAAGCGGAGGGAAAATTCCTGAACTGCTTTCAAAATATTACAAACGCAAAAGCTAGTTAAGAAAAAAACAATGTCAAGAATGAGCCTTGCTGGTGGCAGCGGCCTGTAGTTCCAGCTACTCGGGCAGATGCCTGGAGGCCAGATTAGTCCGGCCAACACAGCAAGACTCCATTTCTTTAAAAAAAAAAAAAAAAAAAAGAGGCTTGAAGCAACAAGAGGGAGAAAATCACCTCATCTACCTCATCTACTGCTAACAGAGAGAGGCTTTTAAGCAACCGTTTATTTAAAGGGGAAAAAAAGTGAAATTCAAGTTAACATTACTTGACAGTACGTTTCAGGAAAAAAATACTCTGCAGAGCAGGTGTGGTTGCCCGAGACCTAAGTCCCAGCTACTTAGGAGGCTGAGACAGGACAGTTTGAGCCCAGGAGTTGGAGTACAGCGTGGGCAACACAGCGAGACCCCATCTCTTTAAAATACAAACAGCCATCGTTTGATCTGAGTTGAAACCTTAAAAATAAAGTATTTTGAACGCTTTCATTTAAAAGTGGAACACGACCCAATCCTAAAACATTACTTCATGACAACTTCTTGGCTTCAGCCATTCTTCAGTATTCTCCTCCCGTAGTGAGCTTAATCCGATACCTCGCTGTTTCCCTCGCACCGCCACTTCACACGCGGTGTACAGACCAAGTTCTGTCATTCCTATAATTACCACACCCCCGTCAGCCGCTCCAGGCCCATGTTGTTATGACATCTGTAAACTGCAGCCGGCCGTCTCAATCCCCCGCTTCCCCCACCTCCCTCCGGGCTGCCGGCTCTAACCCCGGCTGTAACTTGTGAATTCCCAAGACGGTCCCTTCCGGCCAGGGTTAGAATTTTTACACGCCATCCCTGCTCCTTCCTGCCTCTGTCACGGCGCTCGGCGCGGCCCACCCCCGCCTCCCTCCAGCCGCCCAGTTGCGGCGCAGGCTCCGCGCTCGCCTCCTCTCCGCCCGCTGCCTCGGCGCCCCGCAGTCCCCGGCGCCGCTTCCAGCCCCGCCGCCGCGCCGCGCCTCGCCGCCCTGCCCCGCCTCGACCGGCGTTCCCGATGGCGATCACAACAGCGCTCCCCACCCCCACCCTCTCCTCCGCCGGCCGAGCGCCGTTAGGACAGTCGGGCCCGTGACGCACGGACGCGGCGCGAGCGTCAGGACCCAGGCACCCGAGCACGAGCCCCGGCTGGCGCCCGCCGTAGCCCCTGGGCCTCTCCCAAGTCCCGCCGAGTACTGCCCGGACCCGCCGGCGGCAGGGGGAGGGGCCGGGGCCGCAAGGCCCCCACACTCACCAGGCTCACGGCAACCGATCCCGGTGCCACCGATGAAGTGAGCCCCCTCGCTGGCCCGCCCGCCGTGCCGCTCCCGCGCACAACCTCGAAGAGCTGGCTCGCGCCTCGGCGGTGCTCACCAGGCCTCGCTCTCCGCCGCCGCGAACCGAGAAGCAAGACTCAGCTCAGCCGGCGTTCGCAGTGCGCCTGCGTGCGGGGGCCGGCCCGAGCGCCTGCGCGCGTCTCTCCAGCGCTTGCCGCAGAGGCTGCCGGGAAATGTAGTCTTATAAGGCTCTCTCGCCAGACGCTCCTTGCTGCTAGCGCCCAGCCTGTGAAGAGTCGGGGATGGGGGAGAGGGTCTCACTAAAAAGGAGATCTGCAGGCCTTGGCAAAGGTTGGAGAAAGTTATGTGTACAAACCTGTCTTTGCTAGGCTCTTCCAGGGCGGATCGATCCTCACCTCTGTATGTCTAGCCTCTAACACAGTAGGTACCTAATACACTTTGATGAAATAATTGAAGGCAGAGGGTGTATTACAACAATAATACGTCAGAGCCTCGTGTCTGAAGGGTTCACATGCAGCATGAAAGCAGGAAGCTTCTGGACATTCCTTTTTTAGTTCTCCCCCATCCCCTTTGCTTGATACTGTATGAGTAGTATCAAAAATCATTAAAGGCTAGGCACGGTGGCTCACACCTGTAATCCCAGCACTTTGCGAGGCCGAGGCGGGCGGATGACTTGAGGCCAGGAGTTTGAGACTAGCCTGGGCAACATGGCGAAATCCCCTCTCTATTAAAAGTACAAAAATTAGCCAAGGGTAATGACGGGCGCCTGTACCCAGCTACTTGGGAGGCTGAGGTAGGAGAATCACCCAAGCCCGGGGTTGACCATGAGGCTGCAGTGAGCCAATATAGCACCACTACACTGGACAACTGGAGTGAGACCCTGTCCCAAAAATAATAACAATTAAGAAACTACATGGGCCGGGCAAGGTAACTCACGCCTATAATCCCAGCCCTTTGGAAGGCTGAGGCGGGTGGATCACGAAGTCAAGAGATGGAGACCATCCTGGCCAACATGGTGAAAACCTGTCTCTACTAAAAATACAAAATTTAGCTGGGCATGGTGGCGCACACCTGTAGACAAGCTACCCGGGAGGCTGAAACAGGAGAATTACTTGAACCTGGGAGGAGGAGGTTGCAGTCAGCCGAGATCAAGCCACTGCACTCCAGCCTGGGCAACAGAGCAAAACTCTGTTAAAAAAAAATAATAAAATAAAATAAAAACTACATGAAACACAAATACTCATTTTACTCTCAAGTGCTCTCAAACAAAAACTTGGAGCAAATGATTGTTAATGTTAAATCTGATGGAATTCTTTGGGGGACCAAATGGAATAGTGGCTTCAAAAGAAGAAAAACTAAAGCCAACCTAGCAGGGGTCACGGAATATTAGATAGATTTAAAACACACTCCATGAAGCAAGGAGAAAGAGATGGGGTAGATTAATACATTTATAAATGTCCCAGGGAAGAGGAGAGAGGACCACACAAACTGAATCCTAGGTTATGCAACGTTCATTTGTCCTGGACTTCTCTCTGCTGCATCAGCAGTCTCCTGCTGATGTGTTTACTAAGACCAGAGTTGAGTTTGAGCAAGGGGGCTGGGGAAAGGGAAGGTGTGTTCACCAGGAGAGACTTAAGGGCAAGTTTGCCTGACCACAGCTAAAGTGAAGACAGATCACCTTTTTCCAATCAGGAGCTAAGATTGATTATTCAGAGCTGTACTTCAGTCTTTGTGAAAGCTAATTTATTTCCAGTTTATCTTTATTTCTAGCTAGTTCTTCATGGTCCCATCCAAAAGTCTGGGGTATTTATTAGGGCCTCTTCTCTTTGGTGTGACTTCTGAGCCCCATGGGACAGCCATAAGCTCTGTTCACTTTTTCAGCCACTGCTTTCAGAGTCGGCAGTCACCTCAGCTTTGGAAAAATGATGACAAATATCACGCTCACCTCTTGTGGCTTCCTTTTTCTTCCAGATCTTGCATTCACAAATTCTCACTTCCTTGGTAGCTCTTCAGTACCTAAACGTGTTTATACTTTGTTCAGTTGTTCTCTGTAGCGGAAGGGTTGATTCAAAACACCAGTAGGCCACTGCTGGAAGTGGAATTCCTATATATGCTACTTTAAAAAGATGTTATCATAACATATGTGGTGTTTTATAAGCTAATGTCTCTCTGACAATATAATTTTATATTTTGAGAAATTTTAAATTATAGAACAATATTTTTGCTATCACAAACAATGCTGCTATGAACATTCTTGAACATCTCTACTGTGTACAGGGAAACTGCTAGATCCTAAAACATTGCATCTTTAACATCATTAGATGTATTAGGCAGAAATCTAAGATGGCCCCCATAATCTCTGCTCCCTGGTGTTGCCTATATAATCTCTACCCTTTGAGTGTAGGTGGGACCTCTGACTTACTTCTAGCCAACAGAATATGGCAAAGATGATAGGATGTCACTCCCATGATTCTGTTTCTTGATATAAGACTGTCTTTCCAGACTGGAGCTAGAGATTTGCCTGCTGGCCTTGAAGAAGCAAGCTGTCAAGTTGTGTGAACCGCATATGGAGGAGACCACATGGCAGCGAACTGCAGATTGCTTCTAGAACTTGAGTGCAGCCTCCAGCTGACAATCAGTAAGAAGCCAGGGCCCTCACTCATACAACTACAATCAAATGAATTCTGCCAGCAACCTGAGAGAGGTCAGTCTCCAGATGAGAAGACAGCCTGACTTATATCTTGATAGCAGTTTTGTGAGACCCTGAGCAAAGGAAACAGCTAAACTGTGCCTGGACTCCTGGTCCACAGAAACTGTGAGATAATAAATGTGTCTTAAAATACTATGTTTATGGAAATTTGTTATACAATAGAAAACTAATACATTAGACATTGCTGGATTAGGCAATGTACCAATTTAGACTCCATAAGCAGTATATAAGATACTCTTTACTTGCTAACAATTGGAAATATCTGACTTTTTAAATTTTTGCCAATCTAACATATAAATTACTAACATATAAAAAATCTATCATATAAAAACATGAAAAATAGGTATTTACTTACAATTATGTATTCTGTTGTATTTCTTTTCTGTTGCATAAGTGCAATTAAATAGCAGGCTGGGAACAGTGGCTCATGCCTGTAATCCCAGCACTTTGGGAGGCTGAGAGGGGAGGATCACTTGAGCTTAGGAGTTCCAGAACAGCCTAGGCAACATAGCAAGATCCCATCTCTACACACAGAAAAAATTAGTCAGGCATGGTGAGTCACACCTGCAGTCCCAGCTATTCAGGAGGCTGAAGTGGGAGGATCACTTGAAACCAGGAGTTAGAGCACATCACTGCACTTCAACCTGGGTGACAGAGCAAGATGTTATCTCTTAAAAAGAAAAAAAAGCAATAGAGCTAGTTAGAAATGGCAACTAGTAATAATAAATAGAAGGACTAATTAAGCAAATAATATGTGTGAGAAAAATACAATATTTTCATAAGATTTCTTTCTGTCTTCTAGTATAGCAATTTAGCTCTATTGCATATTTAAATTTTGTATGCTATATCATCCTAAATTCTTGAGATAAGTAAGTTTAAGAATTTTTAAAAGAATGTATACAATGGCTGGGCACAGTGGCTTACACCTGTAATCCCAGCACTTTGGGAGGCTGAGGTGGGTGGATCACGAGGTCAGGAGATCAAGACCATCCTGGCTAACACAGTGAAACCCCATCTCTACTAAAAAAAAAATTAGCCTGGCATGGTGGAGCGCACCTGTAGTCCCAGCTACTCAGGAGGCTAAGGCAAAAGAGTCACTTGAACTCAGGAGGTGGAGGTTGCTGTGAGCCAAGAGCGTGCCATTGCACTCCAGCCTAGGTGACAGAGTGAGATCCGTCTCAAATAATAATAATAATAATGTATACACTGGAACTAATGAAACAGATATTACCTATATTAAATTAAAAATGATGACATATTTCTTTCTGTCCCATGATAGCTTGAGATATTTTTATTCTGTTTCCTTTTCCATTAATACTTCTCTGAACTACTTGGAATTTTTAGGAGATTTTTTTTTGAGATGGAGTCTTGCTCTGTCACCCAGGCTGGAGTGCAGTGGCGTGAACCTGGCTCACTGCAACCTCTGCCTCCTGGGTTCAAGCCAATTCTCCTGCCTCAACCTCCAGAGTAGCTGGGATTACAGGCGCGTACTACCACATCTGGCTGATTTTTGTATTTTTAGTAGAGACGGGGTTTTCTCATGTTGGCCAGGCTGGTCTCAAACTCTTGACCTCAGGTAATCCACCCGCCTCAGACTCTGAAAATGCTGAGATTACAGGTGTGAGCCACTGTGCCCGGCCTATAACATTATTCTTTTCTTTTGTGTAATGATAAACTGAATGCAGTCAAACATAAAACTAATTTTGACTTGCAGCTTTGCTCCTCTGCCTAAATTACACTGCTTCTGTTGTCAAAGTAATGACATAAAGCCACCACGCCCAGCCTCCATATGTGAAATTTTTAAAACACTCTGAAGAACATTGGATGTCTCAATTAAGCCTCATTTCCCCCAGAGAACATGGTTTATGGGCCGGGCGCAGTGGCTCATGCCTGTAATCCCAGCACTTTGGGAGGCCAAGGCAGGCGGATCACCTGAGGTCAGGACTTTGAGACCAGCCTGACCAACATGGAGAACCCTGTCTCTACTAAAAACACAAAATTAGCTGGGTGTGGTGGCACATGCCTGTAATCCCAGCTACTCAGGAAGCTGAGGCAGGAGAATCGCTTGAATCCAAGAGGCAGAGGTCTCAGTGAGCCGAGATTGCACCATTGCACTCCAGACTGGGCAACAAGAGTGCAACTCTGTCTCAAAAGAAAAGAAAATGGTTTATGCACTTCTAACTCTTCTGAAAAAAAAATTGAGCTTATAAAATCGAAATTAGATTTCAATTAAGTTTACAGGTGTAGTAAAGAAATCCAGAAAGTTCTGTTTAATTTGCCTTTTTCTGGAGACTTTTAAGTTCTGAAACAATCTTATTTCAAAAAGTTGGCCTATTTTTCTCTGTTGGAATTTTTATCCCAACCTACACATAACATTGAACAACTCAAGTCAGTGAGTTTATCCCTTTGTAGGCTCTTTATGGCCTCTGCAAGGATTATCAGTTTTGGAGAACCAGCAGGTTTATTTCTGTTTTACTATAAACCTTATCTCCATTCTCACCCTCAATATATTTCCAAATTGAAGCAGACCGTTCTGTTTTGTTCCACACTTAAAGATATTTTATGGCAAGCCAACATTTTAACATCTTTTCTCTGGCCAGCTTCAGTGATGGCCACCTTGTAGGCATGTGTTTTAGGAAGCTATCTCCTCCCATTTACATAAAGTCAAAAATGTTATTAAGTGCTTCTGTACATTTTTGAGGAAACTGAAATGACCAAAAACTTTCATTATCAAAGCCTCCATTTCTCAGTAAGCAAATCATAGCTCTCTTTTAGCACTGGTTCACAGATGAGATCCTTTCATTTTCTTTGGTAAGAAATTTAGAGACTGAATAGAATTCATCAAAATTATCGTTTACATCAAAATCATATAAATGAGCCAAGTCTGGTTTGTATTTGGCCAAGATATGATACCCTTTGTTTTATGATTTGTGATTTTGTTAAAATCTTTTTTTTTCTTGAGACGGAGTTTCGCTCTTTGTTACCCAGGCTGGAGTGCAATGGCTCGATCTCAGCTCACCACAACATCCGCCACCTGGGTTCAAGCAATTCACCTGCCTCAGCCTCCTGAGTAGCTGGGACTACAGGCGCGCACCACCGTGCCCAACTAATTTTTGTATTTTTAGTAGAGACGGGGTTTCACCTTGTTGACCAGGATGGTCTCGATCTCTTGACCTCGTGATCCACCCGCCTCGGCCTCCCAAAGTGCTGGGATTATAGGCGTAAGCCACCGCGCCCGGCCTGATTTTATTAAAATATTAATAGACATCAAGATGACAATTTGAAACTCCATTTTTCAAGTCAAATTTCCTAAGAGCTAGAGGGAAGGAACACTTTTTTTTTTTTTGAGATGGAGTCTTGCTCTATCGCCCAGACTTGAGTGCAGTGGCATGATCTCAGTTTACCACAGCCTCCACCTCCCAGATTTGAGTGATTCTCCTGCCTCAGCCTCCGGAGTAGCTGGGACTACAGGTGTAATCCACCACACCTGGCTAATGTTTTTTGTATTTTTAGTAGGGACAGAGTTTTGCTATGTTGGCCCAGCTGGTCTCAAACTCCTGGCTTCAAGGGGTCCACTCACCTCAACCTCCCCAAATCCTAGGATTACAGGCATAAGCCACCACACCCAGCTAAGGTACATTTTTGAGTCAGGAAATGTACCTTTACATAGTTCCATAGAGTGATGCAACAGTGGATGATAATCACTGCGAACATCATGGTTGCCAACATCATTAAGCAGGAAAGAAAATGACAGTGATGACCTAAGGTGAATAATGTATGCTATACCCATTAAACACTAAAAGCAGTGTTGCCTTCAGCCCCCATTTTTTTGGCTGTCATATGAGTTTTGTACTTTTCATACCAACCTCCACACCCAACACAGAAAACCAGGATTTTTTGTGTCCTGGGAGGGTTTTCCAGGATATGGGAATTTTAGTGCAAAATCTGGGAAGTCAAGAAAATGGGGACAGTTGGTCACTCTTCCTCACATCTCCTTCATCAGACTAGTTCACCCATTCCCCTGCCTGCTGTGAATGGGGCTGGCAACCCTACTGCCCCATTTCTCTGAAGAATTGCCCTAGCCCTAACAAGAGCCACTTTGCTAGAAGGCTCCCACCCCCCAGAGAGGGCAGACCAAGGCCAAAAACTATAGCCGACCTAGGCCAAAAACTGGGTTCAAAAGACCAGCCCCTCCTGCAGAGGGCTACTTACTTCTAATGATAGAATTTGTAGTACCGGCACGGTGGCTCATGCCTGTAATCCCAGCACTTTGGGAGGTCAAGGTGGGTGGGTCATTGAAGTCAGCAGTTTGAGACCAACCTGGCCAACATGGTGAAACCCTGTCTCTACTAAAAATACAAAAATTAGCTAGGCCTGGTGGAGCACACCGGTAGTCCCAGCTATTCAGGAGACTGAGGCAGGAGAATCACTTGAACCCAGGAGGCAGAGGTTGCAGTGAGCCAAAATCATGCCACTGCACTCCAGCCTGGGCAATAGAGTGAGACTTCATCTCAAAAAAAAAAAAAAGAATTCGTGCTCTAGTGTTTCCTCTTACAATTAGACTAAAGTGAGTCTTCAGCTGAGACAATTAATATATTCTTGCCAACATTCCCCCCAAGCCCCCGCAGCTGTGCCCTGTGCTGTCTCCATTATTCCCATATCCTGAGAGTACTCCTGAAATAAATTGATTGGCCGGGTGTAGTGGCTCACGCTTGTAATCCTAGCACTTTGGGAGGCCAAAGAGGGTGGATTACCTGAGGTTAGGAGTTCAAAACCAGCCTGGCCATCTTGGTGAAACCCCATCTTATTTTTTTTAAAAATTAAAAAAAAAAATATATATATATATATAAAGAAATGCAATTGATTTATGTAAAACTTATATTTAGAACCCTGATGAATGCTCTTATTAATTCTACTAATTTGTATCCAGATTTTCTTGAATTTTATTTATTCATTTATTTTTTTTTGAGACAGAGTCTTCTCGCACAGGCTGGAGTGCAGTGATATGATCTCGGCTCACTGCAACCTCCACCTCCTGGGGTCAAGCAATTCTCATGTCTCAGCCTCCCGAGTAGCTGGAATTAACAGGCACAAACCACCATGCCCAGCTAATTTTTGTATTTTTAGTAGAGATG